GGAGTCAGGTCACAGGCCAATGTCAGCAATTGTGGGGGCAGATCAGGCAGAGACAGTAAGCAGAGGCAGAATCTGGAGAACAAGCCAAGGTTAGGGCAGGTAGCAGTCAAGCAAGGTCAGGAGCAAGCCGGGTCAGGATCAGAGGTCAGGCACTGGAATCAGGATTAACACATACACAGAAACTGCAGACCAAACAGCATTTAGCTAGTGCAGTAGTCCTGTTTAAATAGGCCATTTGGCGCTAGTATTGGTAACAGGCGTGCACCAGTATGTGCAAGTGCAAGAGACTATGCTTATTCTTGTGCACTTCTGCCCGGCTAGTTGGTGGTTTGTGCATGCTCATATTTATGCGCTGTGAAACTTTGTCTGTACTATGAGCAAACCTTTCCTGACAGATAATAAAAAAATATAAACAATGTCCCCTTATATAAATCCATTGTCAATCACATCATCCAGCTGCAATAAAGCTTTTCCACCTGGCTCCCATTGCTATATGACAAATGTTGCAGTAAATACAGGGTTGGGGATCCTGGGTGATATCATTGACCAATTAAAGCCCATGACATCACCCTGGATTTCTTTTATCATTGGGACACTGTGGCTTGCCAGGGAAGGAAACTGTGCCTCCCCCCTCGCAAGGTACCTCCCCAGTTGTAAAAGCCATGGTTGAAGAAGCAGAGGCCACATGTTCTCCACCCTCAATTTCCAGGCCACCTACTCTGAACGCCTGGTAAAGGGCCTGGTTATAATATTTTCAGAGGAACTCTGTGCCATTTTCATTCCATTTTTTAAAGGGCAGTACACATAAAAAAACAGCATGGGTTTTCCTCTAAAAATGTCATCCAGGTCTGTATCCAGGTAAGTAGCCTGGGTGGCCAGGAAAGAGAGGGACAGCAAGCACGTTTCCACCTTTCTCAATCACACTAGTCCATATGCCTTTAAACATTAGAGTAGTACATTGCAACATTGTTTCCGCATCGCCATGATGATGCACTGGCCTTCAATGTTTCCCCGCCTGTATGTCTGGATAAGGGCCTGGATGGAATTATAAGGTGAGACTCACACTGTTTTTCTTTAAATATCACTAAACTGGGCATGATAAATAATAAATAAATTGTACTGTTCTGTAACATCACACAGAGATTTAGGGCATTGCTCTAGCGTGTATATTCAAAGTTGAACTATGTCTATGTCCCCTATGGCATAGCCCAGCTATCGATGCCCTCTTTGTAAGCATAGCTTGCTAATTAACCTTAAAATAAGACCAGAAAAAAACTAACTCAACCCTGTTTCCTCATCCTAAAAATTCACTAAAAAAAACTTTTTTTTTTAGGCTAACTTTTCAGTAACAGTTCAAAAACACATGCTTACTGAGAATAATGTTTATAGTCATTTCCTTTAACCACGTGCCTACCAGGCACTTATACCCCCTTCCTGACCAGGCCAATTTTCAGCTTTCAGCGCTGTCGCACTTTGAATGACAATTGTGTGGTCAGGCAACACTGCACCCATAAGTTTTTCTTTGTTTCTATTATAAAATTTTCCAAAGAGGTAATTTTTCTCCTTCACTGATGTGCGTTGATGAGGCTGCACTGATAGGCACTGATAGGCAGCACTGATGGGCACTGATAGGCAGCGTTGATGGGCACTGATAGGCGGCACTGATGAGGTGGTACTCATAGGCAGCACTGATGAGCTGGCACTGATATGCAACAATGATGGGCACTGATAGATGGCACTGATGGGCACTGATAGGCAGCACTGATAGGCGGCCCTGATAGGTGGCACTGATGAACTGGCACTGATATGCAACAATGATGGGCACTGACAGGCGGCACTTATGGGCACTGATAGGTGGCACTGACTGACGGCACTGATGGACACTGACTGGTGGCACTGCTGGGCAGCACTGATGGGCAATACTGGTGGGTGGCACTGCTATGCACTGGTGGCTGGCACTGCTGGGCACAGGTGGGTGGCGCTGATGAGCACTGATGGGCACAGGTGGGTGGCACTGATGGGCACTTGTGGGCGGCACTGCTGGGCAGAGATGGGCGGCATTGGTGGGTGGCACTGCTGGGCACTGATCATCAGGTCACTGATCACCAGTGCCCTGATGATCGGTGCCAATCCGTCCTCTGACAATTGCCAGTTATTGGCAGTACTTTCCTCATGCTGTGACAGCATAAGGAAAGGGCAGTTGATAACCGGCAACTGCATTTACCGGTGATCTGCAGTGTCATTGGACATGGTTGATCACGTGGTAAAAGGCTGATGTGGTTGGCCTTTTACCACGTCACGTGATCAGCTGTGTCTATAGGACACGGCGATCACGGAGATCGCTGGGTGTGTGTGGGAGGGCGCGTTCTGGGAGGACCTCACATGACGTCCTCCCAGAAATGGCTGGCCGCAGTGTAGCCGTCATTCGGCTATCTGCGATCGGCAAGTGGTTAATCCACAGCCACGTGTATTTGTGTCTTACATATTAGATGAAGAATTATTAGACCATGGACCAAAAAAAAAAAAGATTAAAAAACATTCTGTTTATTGAACAGTAATAATAGGCTATCAAAGTGAGTAGAAAGGCTAGTTAACTTCAAGTGCCACAGTAAGGACAAAATGTGTTGCATTTGTCTGAGATTTAGATTGCATCTCAATTAGTGTAACAATGCGTCTTTTTTAGCTATGTTATCATTATTCTCTTCGCAACTAACAGTGTGTGCTGATTGTACAACAGAACACGTTTCATTCTGCCAGTTGAAAAGGGGCCCTTAGATGTGATAAAACTAAATAATTGGCTGCTTTGGTGGTTTGGGCATTTTCTATCTAAGAATTGACTAACAAAACACACTGGCAGAGAAAGCAAGTAAATTGTTCAGCACTATGTCAGAACAAGAGAATTAATTAATGATTACATTTGAAATATTATACAGTGGGACTATTTGTCAGAAGGCATAAAGTTGTGCTTGCAGCTGAGATCCGTGATCTTTACTGAGGATATTGAATTTGCATTTTGTTTCCTTGAACTACAGGATATTGAAGTTGTTGGCATCCTATGCTTTGAATAACAATAGACATATAAAACAATTTTTGCAATGAATTTTTATTGACCTCTTTATTTATTAATGCACCAACCCTTAGCATCTAATCAATTATAGTAGCAGATCCACAGAATGCTAAAGCTTTAGTTTCATATTATATCACAAAAAGGATATACAATATGATGAATAAATTGCATCTCAGTCAGTTTTGCACAATATAAAATGTGGTCTGTTTCTCGGAAACTATTGCACCTGTATATCAGAATTAATTATCATGCCACGTGAGCGATTTTGAAGTAGGTATAAATCCAAATGAAAAATTCTCTTATAATCTTTAACATATTTATGTAATTGTAAAAGTAATTTTTAATGCAGTTTTCATTAAAATAATACCCGGTGATCCTGCCATGAAGGTTCTTGTTCAGAATTTTTTTTATATGGTGACAACACTTTGGCCATGTCATTATTACTGTTAGTATACAGGATTTATATAACGGCAGCAGTTTTACAATATAAATGGAGACAGTACAATTACAATACATACTGTACATAGTTACATAGTTAGTCTGGCAGAAAAAAGACAAAAGTCCATCCAGTTCAACCATTAAAAAAAAAAAGTTATAATCCTACTCCCACAGCTGATCCAGAGGAAGGCAAAAAACCCAGCAAAGCATGATCCAATTTGCTCCTGCAGGGGAAAAAATTCATTCCTGATCCCGCAAGAGGCAATTGGATATTCCCTGGATCAACTTTACCTATAAATGTTAGTATCCAGTTATATTCTGTGTATCTAGGAAACAATCCAGGCCTTTTTTAAAGCTCCACTGAGCTGGCCAGAACCAACTCTTGAGGGAGATTGTTCCAAACCTTTCCGTGTTTGGAGATTAAATTTCTTTTCCTCCAAATGTAAAGAGTGCCCCCTTGTCCTCTGTGATGACCTCAGGGTGAATAACTCTACACCGAGTTCACTATATGAACCACTGATGTATTTATACATGTTGATCATATCCCCCCTTAATCTCCTCTTCTCAAGAGAAAATACATTCAGTTCCTCTAATCTTTCCTAATAGCTGAGCTCCTCCATGTCTCTTATCAGTTTGGTTGCCCTTCTCTGTACTATCTCTAGTTCCCCAATGTTCTTTTTGTGAATTGGTGCCCAAAACTGAACTGCATATTCCAGATGAGGTGTTACTAATGATTTGTACAGGGGTAATATGATCTCTCTCTCTCTGCAGTCTATACCTCTTTTAATACAAGAGAGGATTTTGCTCGCTTTAGAAACCAAAGCTTGGCATTGCATGCCATTATTAAGCTTGCGATCTACCAGAACTCTCAGATCCTTCTCCACCATTGATTCCAGAATGCAGAGCCATAGAAAGCAGTGTGCAGGAGCTGACAGGACAGAGATCTTTGTTGTTTATACACAGGTCTCTCCCCCATCGGAGATACTTGACCATCAACAGGTGCCGTTGAGAAATCACTGGCCCGGGACCCGGTGATTGACAGCCAAGGCCGTGAGTGGCCCCCTGCCCGAAACTGCAAAATCACGTATAAATACCTGATTTTGCGCACCCATGCCGCCCTGTAGTAGTATTTCTGCTATAGGATGGCACAGAAGCGGTTAAGGTGGTAAATAAACTCACTTAGTGCCTTACTTGCATTAAATTAACTTCAAAATCTGTGTAATTAATATGTGTTCAGGTTTAAAGGGATGAGGTGGCAACTCTATCTATATGCCTTTTGTAAATCAACCCCAATGTGTGAATTGGCCCTTAACCGCCTCCCGCCCGCCATATAAGGCAATGACGTGCTCATAGCAGTTCTCTCGTTCTGGGAGGACGTCATATAACGCCCTCCCACTCTAACTGCGTGTACGGCAATCGGTGATGCGCTGTGTCCCTGGGACACAGCGGATCACCGTTCAACGGAAAGTGCCAAAGACGTCGGCTCTGTTATGTGATCAGCTGTGTCCAATCACAGCTGATCACATGTAAATAAGGAAATGCCAGTTATTGGCATTCCTCTCCTCACGAGCTGTCATGCTGACAGCTTGTGAGGAGAGGAGAGCCGGTAATCAGCATTACTTAGAGGGGACATGTACACTGATCATCAGGGCACTGATGATCAGTGTGCCCTGATGATCAGTGTAGCCCCATCAGTGCCACCTGTCAGTGTCCATCAATGTCAGCTGTCAGTGCCCATCAATGCCACCTGCCAGTACCCGTCAGTGCCACATCAATGCCACATATCAGTGCCTACCAGTGCACATCAATACCACATATCAGTGTCCATCTGAGCTGCCTTTCAGTGCCACCTATCAGTGCCAGTCAGTGCTGCCTATCAGTGCCGCCTAACAGTGCCACCTAACAGTGCCAGTCAGTGCTGCCTATCAGTGCCAGTCAGTGCCACCTATCAGTGCCATATATGAGTGCTGCCTTTCAGTGCCCATTTGTGATGCCTGGCAATGCCCATCAGTGCCTCCTCATCAGTGCCCATCAGTGCCGCCTATCAGTGCCAATCAGTGCATCCTATCAGTGCCCATCACTTCAGCCTCATTAGCGCACATCAGTGAAGGAGAAAAATTACTTATTTACAAAATTTTATAACAGGAATAATTTTTTTACCAACATTTTCAGTTGTTTTTGGTTTGTTTAGCAACAAATAAAAAACCCTGAGGTGATTAAATACCACCAAATGAAAGCTCTATCTGTCTCAAAAAAAGAAAAAGATTTCATATGGGTACAGTGTTGCATGACCGCGCAATTGTCATTCAAAGTTCAGCAGCGCTGAAAGCTGAAAATTGGCCTGGGCAGGAAGGGGGTATAAGTGCCCGGTAGGCAAGTGGTTAAATAAAGATGATGATCCTGGTCTGAACCAGCCTGAGTGAACCCATCAGAAAGTTGACACCTGTACTGGTACAAGCATCTGCAGCTGGGGTATTTCCAGCTACACAGCCCCACATATACAAATGGCATGTGCAGCTGTGCCTTGGCTGCTTATGATTGGCCCAGTACAGTGACAGCTTTCTGGCAGGCTCGATCAGGTTGTTTCAGACTAGGATCTAATCGTGCCTGAGCCCTTCCCTAGTTTTAAGATAGGGAGGCATTCACCGGGCTCAAAGAGGAGCCATGGTGTACAATCAAATCAGCTTTAGTTTGTGTCCAATGTTCCAATGGAGCATAGCCCACCTTTCTCAAGGTGTACATATATAATATATATACATATATCTTTTTTTTTATTTTTTTTTATTTGTTAGCAAAATGGTTTACTCCCTCTTTTACTGTCTCTTTTTATGTGACAGAGACACCATACCCTATCTCATATTTCTTATGTAAGCACATTTCAACCTTAAACTTAATTATCGCAAGGATTTGCAAAATACTCCAACTATTCCTGGACTGGCATTCCAGAGGATACCGTGTTCTATTTTTGAGCCAATAAAATCCTCCCCCTGGAAGCATTTGTTTATCATATTACAGCTTCACATGAGCTGAGCTCAAGCCTGACCCAGTGTTAAGTGTCTGTGGTATATTTCATTACATCCATATACTGGAAGTCCTGCCAATATACTGGCAGAGAAGTCCTAGCGGAAAATAAATGGCAATAAAAAGGAGAAATGATAGCTTGAGCAAGTGTTGAAGGGAGCAGCTTTATTGAGGCTGGACAGCCCAGGAGATGTGACTTGGCATGCAGACATGAGCTTAGGAGAGTGTGAGTGAAAGCTGATATTGGAATAACGACTCTGTGGCACAGACGTGGGAATAATTTAATTAATTGCTCCGAAATTTCTTTGATGAATAGTTATGTGGTGATAAGCATGAGGTTGAACTGCAGAATGAGTTTCAGCTTTTTAATAGGCTAGCACAGCTGCAGATTTGGATCCGTTCCCATTTTTTTTTCTTATGTTATTATTTTCAGTTAATGTCTCTTGAAAGCATCCCTTTTCTCATTTGTCCATAAGAGGAGGTGACTTGGCTTACAACAGCAGACCAGGACAGTAGCCACTTTGAAAAGGATGCCAGACTGAAAGGAAATTATATGACGCTTTCTTTATAATTCTTGTATTTTTTAAGAGAGGTTTTATTGAAAAGCCAAAGAACATTTCAAATCCTTTGAGAAAGTGGTATTGCTTTGTTGTTTGAGAGCTGTAGAAGTTGCTTGAACAATTCAACCCAGCTGGAAACAACGTGTTAATTCCATGATTTTACCTAATATTTTCAGACAGAACAATTACTGACAGCCATAACCATGATTTTTTTTACTGTATTTTCTAGAACAAGTAGAGAGAGTTAAATTTAAATAAACATGTAGTGCTCAACCCCCAAGGACCACTGATTCATATCCTAGGTTCTTTTCCCCTTTGTGCAGCGGAAGCCAGGCAAACAGCAACATTCACTACTCAGGCTCAGTAAACAGTCTAGGGCAGGGGTGTCAAACTGGTGGCCCTACAGTCTAGGGCAGGGGTGTCAAACTGGTGGTCCTTCAGCTGTTGCAAAACTACAAGTCCCATCATGACTCTGCCTTTAGGAGTCATGCTTGTAACTGTCAATCTTGCAATGCCTCATGGGACTTGTAGTTTGGCAATAGCTGGTGGGCCGCCAGTTTGACACATGTGGTCAAGGGTTTGCTTTTTTTTACATTTATTGCAGATTAACGTCTATGGGGCTTAGGAAAGCTGTGGGATATTCCAGAACACTGAACAGGAGTGTGAGCACACGCTTCCCTTTGCAGCTACTTCTTGACACGGTCTTTTGAGCAGTGGAACATAAAGTGGACAGCACTGGAACTCCATTAGCCTAGGCCAGGAAAGTCTTAAACTGTTGACACCAACAGTACACTAATATGAGGCCTCTTGGCGGCTGGGCACTGACGCCGAGCGGCTGCATATTTATGTACCAAAAGCAAACAAACATGTGCCAAGAAAGCACACCCTGCTCCCTCCCGACACATTTACTGGTGCCTCACGAAAAGGCCCCAATCACTATTCGCGATCAGGACCTTTCTGATCATGTGACCGCTGTGACAGCCAATCATGGTGGTCACATGACCCTAAATCCTGCCCCACCTCCCAGCATCACAGACCCCCCTTAAAGGGTCAGGAAGTGCCAGTGCCACAGGTTTAAACTTAGTGCACCAGGGGTTAACAGCAGAAGCAATCACTAGGATCCCTTTCTCAGGTCTGTACTCACAGTGTCCCTGGGACATGGATGTCTCCCTCCAGACTCAAGCAGACAGTTTCCTCATTGAAGCCTCCAGACTGAATCCTGAATCCTCAGTGAAACCCCTCTTCCAGCTCTTAAAAAATTAGAGGCAGGATAGCCCCCCCCCAGCTGAGACAGGAAGGAACTCCAGCTGGACTGCCAGGAAGGGTAGCAGTCCTCCTGACTTGGAACCTTTACTCCTGGGGAAGAAGAACTTTGTTCTCTGAGGCACCATCTTATACACTCTCCCAGCTACCATCTGGACACTTTCCCCAGGGATTGGCTGGAGCTGCATAACTATTCAGACTGCTCATTTGACTCTCCCACCCACTACATTCTGGAAGCCTCTAGAAAACAGGGAGTAGCAATCAAACTTGCAACCTGAAGAGTAGACCAAAGCAATTGCATGCTGCTCTGGTGATTACAGCAAAGCCTTACAAATACATTTGCCTAACCAAACCCATTAGCTTATCTAGGAAAAAAATGAGAACTGACATATCCAAATTACCAGTTTCAGCCATCCACAAGGTATGTAACAGGCACAGTTACCAATGTTATGCTTTGTATAAGGACCTCAGGCACACAACTATCTGGGCCATATGATGTAAAATAATCCCCATCTGGGAGGCACAGCTAATGTGTACAGTCACTCATATAAAGCAATTATAGGATGCAGCTGTACACAGGTATACATTGGTATTTATGTGGTAAATGCGTACATGCGTATAGACATACACATGTGCATGGTTGCGCTAATACTAGTGTAAACCTATGTACAGATGCATCCTATAATTGCATCCTTATCTGTCCACTGACAAGACACTGCAAACTCCCTCAACCCTGTTAACTAGCATCAAAACAAAGCAGGGCAACCACGATAACCTTTTGATTTAGCCCATCTCCAACCCATTAACAGTACAAACCACATCCTAGTCTTGTTCTAATATCAGTCATTAAACTGTCAAGTTCATGCTCAAGTAATTGCTAATCTTAAGCAGACAACTGTCCAGGATAGCCACTTGTCATAAATAGTTTAGCTGAAGCAATTAGTGATATACTGTACATTTCTGTCTATCTCATCCTGGGGAATCAAAACTTCAGTGTATGTCATAACTCCTGAAATACTGTAAGTACTGCCAGAATAAGGACATATTTACCTGCAGCAGCATTTAAGCCCAAACACCACTGTATTAGAAGGTATTGGAGGCAAACTAGACACATGGTAATCTCATGCTGATCAATAATATACCAGTTACCAGAATGCATCCTGTAAGTATTCAAGACATTAATGCTTGAATAAAACTATATTTTAGGGAGTTGCCACTACGTGGTCATAAACACTGTGAAATCCCATTGGTCACTCCTTTGTCCTTCTCATTGGTCAGATCATTTCTGTCCACACCCTCCTCAAGGACTAGAAAAGAGGGGCTGCATCAGCAGTCTAGATCTCTCCTTTAACATCAAAGAATCTTAGCTACGATCTATGCGAGCCACTGATCATACTGCTCATCATACTGGACTTCGCCAAAGTCATCAAGCAGACTTTGTTAAAGTATAATATGTAGACCCTCACCTTGTGTATAGATGTAAAAAAAAAACATTTTAACAGTTTTTTTACAAGTTACCACAATATTTTTATATTTATATACATTGATGGGTTTATTTTGTTTTCCATTTTCATTTTAATTTGTTTCCTTATCTTGTCATTTTATGACATATATATTGGATTTTTTTATGTATTTTAATAGAGTTTTCATTATATACATGGTGCATGAAGTCTATTTATTGATATATCATAAAGTGGTGGTTTCTAGTTTTGAGCATATGGATTACAATGTTTTGCTTGTATTTTTTTGATAGCAGTCCATATGTCATTTTATGATTACGTTTATCCCAGGTTTGTAATAATCAATCCCAATGTTATACAATGTATTTTACATGACTTTGACAGGGTACTCAGGGGTTAATTGCTTTAGGGGAGTGGAGCTAGGTTTCACCCATGCGACCCATTTTTCTTTCCCTGGTTTTTATTGGTTTAAATTTGCACATACACCAGCATTTAACGGGTTGCTGTTTCTTCAGTCACCTGGCTTGACAAAGAGGCGAGCCTCGAAACATTGCTGTAGAGACTGAGATTGTTTGCCCCCTTCAAGCATAGACATCAGCTTCTTGGATTCTGGATAGTGGGACGAAATTTCCAGTCTGGTTATCCCAACTGGACCATCCATCCTCCCATCCTTT